AGGCAATAGCATAAGGGTGCCATAAAACAGCTCTCAGGCCTGTATGGGCAGAGCTCTGCTAGGTGCTGGCCTGCAGTGTCTGTGTCTGTGCTTAGCATTTTTCTTTCCAGTGGGAATTGATGTTTCCTGGGCTTTGCTTGCAGTGCTATTGATTGAGTCTTTGCAGCTCTGTGACTAATCGTATAAATTCAAGTCTGCTGTCTAAATAAGAGTAATGGTATAAACCTTCTGGGTTTGACTGGTATTCCTGGTCTGTGCTATATATCAGGGATATTTGGCAGCATAGATAGTCTTGCAAAGCTGATTATTAGTAACGTGCTCCTTAGTACTAAATGCTTATGTGAAGCACACTGACGTCAGAGGAACCCCTCTTGAGTGAGTGGTGCATGGGAGATGTCGGTTTATCAGTAGCAGCCATCCTTCTGCCTGTACTGTGAGCTTGTGCGTGCCGGTTTCTCCTAGCGAGCCAGCTGCTCACAGTCCACACACTGTTCCTGTGTGTGCAAACACGTGCATGGCCAGCATCCCCCGTGCCTCGCGCTGGCGGCGGTGCTGGGAGCGCCGTGGCTGGCCTGGGCCTCCTGCGCGCGCGGCTCGGCGTGCCCTCCCGCTGGCCCGTGGCTCGGCAGCGGGAAGGGGCTCTGCTCCGGCCCTACCGGGAGGCCTCGAGAGCCCGGGGCTGCTCGGCTGAGCTCGCCCCTTCACGGCTTCGTTTACACCACTGAGCAACTCTGTCCAACATCCGTATCGAAACAGCATAACAAACTGTGTTAATTTGAACAATAAGTAATTAAAAGTAAGTGACTTATATGCCGTTGCTTAACCCCAAGCCCTAACAAAAGCAGTGCCTCGTACAAGTGTTTGTTTTGAGGGAGTGTGACCACTTTGTTTGCTCTGGGTAAGCAAGGACAGGCTCACTTGTTTGCTTTTCCCGTAACAGTCTGCTTAAATGTTGGTGAAGTATATGTAAAAGTTTTTTCTAAGAAATTTGAGCTAATACAGCCAAATGCTGTTTTAGGTAAACTGACATAAATTATTAATTTATAGGAATTAAGAAGTGTGAGTTGTGGCATCTAAGCAGTGTTCATAGCTGCAATAAACTCAGAGCGAAAGGGAGTACATAACTCTCTGTCTACGAGGAAGGCTGTAGAACAGATGCGCAGAGTGAAGCATTAAATGCTTCTAGATTTGGAATCATGGCATATACCTCTAACTTTGTCAATGTACTATTATTTATATGATGTGTGTTAGTTAACTAGAAATGGGATTTATAAAGTATAACTTTATGTATGCAAATAAACAATGCTTATATCAGCTAATATATATGTTTTTAACTACAAGAAATTACTCCACAGCTGTTAGCATATAATCATACTTCCTAGCTCTTTTGTCATTAGTGTTCAGTTGGACAATAAATAAATCCCTTAAGTAGACTTCATTAATAAGTAAAAGAGAACATAGGGGCTTCTCAGTATTATGAAATACTGCCTGATTCATTAGACTGAGTTAGAGACAGAATATCTAAATGCTTATCTCATATGTTTGAAGTTCTGATAACTGCTTTTTGAAATTACAATTAATTTTACTTTGCAATACGTAAGCTACTATACCATTCTGTATCCGTATCACTCTGAAAAGTGTTTTCTTTATAAAATATTAAGAAAAAAAGTAGTGACTCTTCTGTGGAGGTAGTTACCCTGTTTAAAAAAATAATCATCTTTGGCCTTAGGAAGTTGACATTTTTCACACTTCAGATAACATTTTAATAAACATTGTTTGTGATGAATTATAGCTTTGCACCACAATACATCCAGTGTTCTCTGGAGTGACTTTAATTTTAATTCATGTCCTTTCAGAGTCAGTTTCCTCAGCTCTTTTATTTGTGAGGACTGTTTGGCCACATGGCTGTTTCAGGAGATTGCAGCTGTTGGGACATTTTTAGTTTTCAAACTTTATTCCATTGCTTGGCTTTGGGGTCATTCTCTTCCTTCCCGCTTGCTCTCTTCGGAAGCACCAGGAGGCAGAGAAGTAGTAGCAGATGCCTTCAGTGCAGGGTGATGAGTGGAGGGCAGGAACAGAGCAGAGGAGAATAAACAGATCCTGGACCTAAATAACTGATCAAACAGCCCTGAAGCTGATATGAATCTTTCCCATGACTTGGAAATGCACAGGGTCAACTCTTCCACAAAGATGTTTGTTTTGGAGTTCTTATTTTTGGTTGCCCCAGCCTTTGAGTCCCAGAGCTGATTATTTATTCCAGTGTAACCGATTTGTGAACTGTGCATTTTGCTCAATTGCAGTGTAATTGTTAAAGGAAATTACACTATGTGTAGAGGTGAACTTTCCTGTAAAGTTTAAGAGCTTGGGTTTCTCTGAAGCTCTGGTCTTCCATCACTGGGCATATCTTCAGATGAAAGCACCTGTCTGAATTTTCTGTGCTGTGCACCCCTCCAGAGAAGAGGAGGGTTCGCTTGCTTTCGTGTGGCCAAAGCTATCTGCTACCAAATTCTTCAGTGTGGATTGGGTATTTTATGCCATTTTCATGTTAGGAGGTAATCATAAAGCTGCTACTGAAGGAAAAAAAATAAATAATAAAGTTAGTGGTTTTCCCTTAAAATCTTACCTTCCTGTCAGTCTTGCATAGCTGCTCTGTTATAGCATATTCATTCTTACTTGCAAAAAGTGCAAGGGCATCCCAATGCCCTTCTGGTTGCCTGCAAATTCATTTGATAGAGCCAGTCTGTGCCCTCTACGTGCCTTCTTTTCAATTATTTTTTCCTCCCTTTTAAGTATATGTATTGCATCATATGATGCAATAGTAGTTGATTTACTAACCTACATATTCATAATAGTCAAATATTCATCTCAGGCTGTGTTCTCTATAGAAATAAGGGGGAAAAATAGTATTTAAAAACAGACAAATCAGAACCTTTCTACAACTCATGTTTGTCTTCAGTTCTGCCAGGTATCTAGTCTTCCTGCTTTCTGAGCACTGGAGAATTAGACTAGACTTTCAAGTCTACATCTGTGGACAATACTGCACTTTTGGAAGACTGTCCTTTGATAATTTGACATCAGGTATTGTCTTCATTAGTGCTGGAGCCAGAGGGGAGCATGCTCTCAATCGTCTAGTAATCTGTTCCAAGTTTATTGCTCAATATGCGAGGACTCAAAGGTCTCAGTAATGAGACTTTGGAAACTGCTCAGGTTGTTTTGCCTGTTACTTCTGCAACGAGAGAGTCTTAACTGAAGAGTCTGAATCAAAATGGTGCTGATGCATGAAGTGTTACTGTCATGTTCAGATCAGAATTAGATTTGTATATGTATGAGTATGTATATGCACACACATTTAACTTTGTCTTGAACAACGCATTTTGGTTAGGGTAGCATTATTCTTTTATTAACAATGCATTTACTTTGTCAAGTAAGAAATAATTATTGATAGAAGTAGTCAGAAAAGCACTTTCAGTGTGTCAGCATCCATTGCTACTTAATGACAAACACTTAAGCAGCTATTTAAGCAACAAATTCAAATTGTGCATAGGTTAGAGAGATTAAAAATCTATATTATACTGTGATGTGTAAGTTATTCACCTGGGCAGATTTTTTATTGAATGCAGGGATGTTTATTTGCTCTGGAGTGGATCAGTGAATATGCTGAGTCAGTAGGATGGAGCAGATCATATTGCTTCAGCATGTTCCACTTTGCAATAGAGAAATAGCATGTATGCTAATATCAACAATAGTTCAAGAAGCTACAATAAAAAAGCATATCAAGAATAGTGAACTCAAGTGCAGATTTTTTTCAGGCATTTTTCTTGTTTTCTTCTATGAGGTTCAAGTGCCTTCTCTGAAAGTTCTTGCTTTTATTGATATTTTTCTTCGAAATACCAGGGGAACTAGGTTGCAGCCTGGTAATGATGACAAAAGTATAAATGAGAACTGTGAATAAGGGAAACTTCTAATCCAATAGAATAAGGACTTTACACAATGTCTCGCTAATATTTTGATATAAATGGATGTCTAGTGATAAATCTGGAATAGCTGAGGCTAATCTGTTTCAAGGAGATGGTGTAGATACCTGATTTTGCAAAGCTGTTTAGCAGTTGAAGGGGTTTTGTGGGTTTGAACTATTCTGAGACAGTTTTATCAGAATTGTTCTGGAGTAATGCAGTAGATAATAAGGTTGATTTCTTAGAAACATACAGATTTTCAAGTCTTGGGAAGAGATGACAAATTGCTACATATACATGGCCAGAGAAAAAGGAATAGAAGGATGAGACGGGTTACTCTTACAAATCTTTAAGTAGGAAAGATGGGTGTGCTCCTCCAGTAAAAAGCAGTTTCTTCTTGATACTGGAGACTATAG